TCGGTCAGAAGAAGCTATCCCAGCAGACAGCACGTGAGAGGAGCTAGGAGGGGGACGGCCGCTCCTAGGGGTCGCCCGCCCCCTGAGGGGCGCTGCCCTGACCGCGCTTCCTTCTGGACGTTCTTACATGTATGAATATCTGATCCCTATGGTGTTCTATTTTTATCCTCAAGCTTTAAACATATTTGACAATTTTATATGTTATTTTCTTAAATAAGACATGAGCAAAGTATTATTTTCACATAGTGTATGATTGTGAATGAGAAGTGTATGTGAGTAACATTGCAAGAACATGTTAGATATATTTGAATTTTCATAGATTTGCAATGAATTCATCAAAAGAGACTAAGTTTATTTCATCAATTTCTTAATTTATATCATGAGAAGATTCTAAGAAAACTTTCAATCTTTGACCATTAACTTTAAAAGTGTTACTGTCATTGTCTTGAATGGTGATCGCGCCGTGCGTTGATGAGTTAACGACGGTGAATGGTCTTTCCCATTTGCTATGTAGCTTACCTTTACCGAAGAGCTTGACACGGGAGTTGAATAGTAAGACCTTGTCTCCCCCTTGAATTGTTTCTGTTGGATTCAGTGGTCATGCCATCTCTTGGTTCTTTCTTTGTAAAGTCTGGCACTGTGGTAGGCTTTCTCATGTCATTCTTCTAGCTCAGAGATTTGCTTTTCTCGGTTCTTACCAGCTAGCCTTACATCCATGTTCCAGTTCTTGATTGCCTAGTGAGCTTGGTGCTCAAGCTTAACTGGTAAGTGGCAGCTCTTTCCATAAATAAGCTGGAACGGAGACATGTCAATGGGGGTTTTATAAGTTGTCCTGTATGCCCAGAGTGCATCAGGAAGCTTATTCTTCTATCCCTTCCCTATGTCATTGACCGCCTTCTGCAGGATATTTTTGATTTGTTTATTTGAAGTTTTTGCTTGGCCACTGGTCTGTGGGTGGTACGGGGTGGCTATGTTGTGCTTGGCTCCAAGTTCCCTTAGGAAGGCTCTGAAGGTCTTGTCGATGAAGTGGGACCTCCCGTCGCTTATTACCATTCTTGGTATTCCAGAGTGAGGGAAGATCATTTCGTGAAACATTCTCCTAGCACTCTTGGAGTCGGCAGCTTTGCATGGCAAAGCTTCCACCCATTTTGATACGTAGTCGACGGTGACGAGGATGTACTCGCAATCTTGAGACCTTTGGAATGGCCCCATGAAGTCAATGCCCCACACATCAAATATTTCTATTTGAAGGTTGTAGTTGAGGGGCATTGCATTGCGAGACGTGATGCCACCTTGCAACTGACATTTCCGACACCTTCGGATAAATTCTTTGGTGTCTTCATCAATCGTTGGCCAGAAGAATCTGCACTGCCATATTTTGGCTTGAGTGCAGAATGCTCCATAGTGGCCTCCGTACGGAGCTGCATGGCGTTTTTCGATGATTTGTATCCCCTCTGTCGCAGGCACACACCTTCTTAACAGGCCATCAGCACATATCCACGGGTTTGAATCCGTCACCCTTAGCAGCATGTCGTCACGTAGGAAGTCATTGATTGGTAGTTCCTGCATGTTAGTGGCTGGTATACGCGGCAGATGATCTGCAACAATATTCTCTACTCTATTTTTATCTTTTATTTCTAAGTCAAATTTTTGGAGTAGAAGAATCCATCTTATGAGGCGTGGTTTTGCATCTTTCTTAGTGAGCAAATATTTAAGTGCAGCATGATTGGTGTAAACAATTATTTTTGCTCCCACTAAGTAAGATCTAAATTTATCAATAGCAAAAACAACTGCAAAAAGTTCTTTTTCCGTGGTGGCATAATTAAGTTGTGCTCTTGTCAGTGTTTTGCTAGCATAGGCAATTGCATGATGCTTTTTATCTTTGATTTGGCCAAGGAACGCACCAACGGCATAATCACTAACATCTCATATTATTTCAAATGACAGTGACCAATCGGGTGGTAGGATGAGTGGTGCTGAGATGAATGCTTTCTTGACTGTTTGGAAAGCATTTAAACACTCATTAGTGAACTCAAAAGGTACATCCTTAGGTATCAGGTTCGTCAATGGCCTAGAGATTTGCGAGAAGTCCTTAATAAATCGTTTGTAAAAACCTACGTGTCCTAAAAAGTTGCGGATTCCTTTTATGTTCACTGGGGTGGTAGTTGTTCTATAACTTCAATTTTTGCTTTGTCAACTTTAATCTCCCTTTTATGTTCACTGGGGTGGTAGTTGTTCTATAACTTCAATTTTTGCTTTGTCAACTTTAATCTCCCTCTCAGACATTAAGTGTCCAAGAACGATGCCCTCTGGAACCATAAAATGACATTTTTTCCAATTAAGAAATAAATCTTTTTCCTGGCATCGTTGCAAGACTTTGTCTAAATTTTCTAGACAATAATCAAAAGTTTTTCCATGGACTGAAAAATCATCCATAAAAACCTCTATAATTTCTTCTATCATGTCTGAGAAAATTGACATCATGCACCTTTGAAAAGAGGCGGGTGCATTACACAGCCCAAAAGACATTCGTCTATATGCATATGTTCCATATGGGCATGTAAAAGTAGTCTTGCTTTGATCATCGGGGTGGATAGGAATTTGGTGATACCCAGAATACCCATCAAGAAAATAAAAGGAGTGCTTCGCCAACCGCTCTAACATTTTATCAATGAAGGACAGTGGGAAGTGGTCTTTCTTTGTGGCCGCGTTAAATTTTCGGTAGTCTATACACATCCTCCACCCTGTGACGGTTCGTTGTGGGATTAATTCGTTCTTATTGTTTTCTACGATCGTCATGCCCCCTTTCTTGGGCGCCACCTGGACGGGGCTGACTCAGTCGCCATGAGATACGGGATAGATAATCCTATCGTGAAGAAGTTTTAGGACTTTTTTCTTCACGACTTTCTGCATTGTGTTATTGAGCCTGCGTTGGGGTTTGCGTGATGGTTAGTCAAAAAGCCAAAGCCTAGAAACGGAGTACATCCATTCAAAAACCTGTACAGCTTCCCTTTCAGCACGTACCAACGCAAAGTGGAGTAGCACACAATACACTCGTCGCTTTACAAGTACGTGTACATCACATTGGCACATCCACGGGAGCAGTGCGGTCGTCATCTTATTCAAAAGGAGGACGGAATCTCCATCAAATGTATGGTTACAAAAGGAGGACAGAATCTACATGAAATTCAAAAACACATCCATCCAGCTCACCTGCAGCGTCGTCAGGCATCGACCGTGCACAAGCTCTTTCCTTTTCTTTTCTTCTTTTTTTAAAAAAAATGAGCATCGCGCACAAATTGACCAACTGGTACAGGTCTCGAGCGCTGCGTCTGTGTTTGCATCTTCTCAGAAGTCAGATCTGAGCCCCAGTGTGGCCACACCACACACACAGAGTGAGCACAATATTCATATTCCAGGCAGGCTGTGAAGCTGAAACAAAAGCAAGCAAGCAAGCAGCCAAGCACTCATCTCATCACCCCCAAGCAGTTGAAATTCTAGATCCCAAGGCCCTGTTTGGTTGGGTGGCTAACTTTTAGCCTGGCTAGAATCAAAGTCTGGGTAGTCTTAGTCTGCTTCCACCAAGCCAATCCTCTGGTTATTTGGTTGTTTGTGTTTTTTAAGCTTGGCTAGCCCCAGGACGTGTTTGGTTGCCTGATTTGTTTTGATACAGTCATATCTTCTCTAAATTGGTAAGGATACCCCTTTTAGGCATTTCGTCGAACAAGTGGTGGACACCCTCGACGAGCACGACACTTGGCAGCAGTAAGACGAGAATCGTGAGCCGGACGACCACGACTAGCAGCACGACTAGCACGACGAGCAGTAGGAGTTGGCAATGATCCACGAGAAGATTGATACTTCAGTCTACAGGCCAAGTCATATGATCCTGAAGGTGAATACGTTGTAATTCAATCGGTGGAGAAGACCAGACAACATGTACAGAAGACAAATAAAATAGGAGGCTCTTGATTCACTCGAAATCGAACCATCTATCAGTAGATGAAGTAATTTTTTACAAAACTGATTGTAGTGTAAACATACACGAATTTCTCTATGGTCTTATGCAATGTTCATTGATGCATTCAGCTACACATTGCAATGATTGTCAGTAGATCCAGCACAAAGGATTAGAAGGCCTAAACATTCACTCACATCCAACACATTCACGGTCGCTCGAATCGTGCCTCTGCTGGTGTCATCGATGGGCGAAGAGCATCCTGGACCTGATGGGCGCCGACCAAAAGCGGACCCGCGGCGCGCTGGCCAAGTTCCTCAAGCCGGATCCGTGGCACACTCGGCAAGCAGCAAGGCTCCGCGACATCATCTCCCTGTTGCTCTTCGGCCTCGAGCGTAGCCCCGCTCAGGACGCGCTCGCCGACGACTTCCCCTTGTGGAAAGCGGCCTTTCCCAATGCCCGCGGGACCCCCACCCTGCCACCGCGGGAGCTCGCCGTCGAAGGGGTGCTCGCCAGCAAAGGTGGAAAGTGGCCTTTCCCAACACCCGTCAGAGCACGGCCACCTCGCGAGCTCACCGTCGAGCGCCGTGGGATCCTCCGAGTTGGTGGCCGGAGCACGCTGGCATCATCGTCCTCTTCGGATCGAGCCTCCGTCGTCGAGCGTCCGCTCCCAGACCTCCGCGTTGTGACCAGAGGTGACGCGACGAGAGTTAGAGCGCTGGCCAAGCCAGGCTCCCGTAAAACGGATCCCCATCTTGTTTTTCCAAGGCCAGAGTAGGACCTCTAAAGTGGTTTAGTTAGGCCTGGCTTTAGGCTATTTACATGCAACCAAACAACTAAAAGTTAGTTTTCTAGAGCCTGATCGCTAAAAATTAGCTTTCTAGAGCCTGGTTATGGACTAGTCATCCAGCCGAAGGTGCCAAAGCTCCAAACACTCCACTCCCTGAAAAGCCCATAAAACCCCAGTCTCTCTCTCACCCTGTTTTCCTCACTACCAAGAGAAGCCAGCCAAGCCAAGCCTGCCAAAGGCGACATTTTTCTCATGGACGCCGGCGCCGCCACCACCGCCCGGGAGCGCCCCGCGCCGCCCTCGCCGGTGCCGATGGCGATTCCGCTGCCGGTGCCACTGCCGCAGGCGTCGGCGGACCCGTCCAACCCCTTCCCCACCACGTTCGTGCAGGCCGACACCACCTCCTTTAAGCAGGTGGTCCAGATCCTCACCGGCACGCCGGAGACCGCGGCGGCCGCGGCGTCGGGCGGGGCGCAGGCGTCGCCGCCGGCCCCGCAGAAGCCAGCGCCCGCGCCCCCGGGGCCCAAGAGGCCGGCTTTCAAGCTCTACGAGCGGCGGAGCAGCATGAAGAGCCTCAAGATGCTCTGCCCCCTGCTCCCGGCCGCCGCCGCCTTCGCCGCTGGCGGCTTCGCCGGAGGCTTCTCCCCGCGCGGGTTCTCGCCGCGCGGCCTCGAGGTGCTGTCGCCCAACATGCTGGACTTCCCGTCGATGGCGCTCGGGAGCCCCGTCACGCCGCTGCCGCCGCTGCCGGGGTCCGAGGAGGCCGCCGCCGCCGAGGACCGCGCCATCGCCGAGAAGGGGTTCTACCTCCACCCGTCCCCGCGCGGCAATGCCGGCGCCGGCGGCGACCTGCAGCCGCCTCCCAGGCTGCTCCCGCTCTTCCCCGTGCAGTCGCCGACCGGCCGGCCGTGAGTCCGTGACCGCTTCTTGGCATCCCTCTCCCCTTCCTCTAGGCTGGCTCGCTCCTGCTCGGTATGCTCTGCTGCTCGCTGCTAATCGCGGCGCTCCTCAAGTTGGAGGCCAACCTGATCTGTGGATGATTTGCTCCTCCCCCGTTCCGTCCCTCTCGTGAGCTCTGGGATGATGATTCCTGTATGTCCAGTCCCCATGTTGTAATCTTGATGTTTGTAACAGTAATTCGGCGCATAAGAGGGATTAATTGATCACCGAGTTCGAGTGCTCTTGCTCTCTGATGAATTGTATGTAGTAGATTTTAGCTTGGCATTTTCACCTTTCCTTGCTTCATTCATGTGCTTGCTTTGACAGTAGTTTGGTGGGGCAAGCTTGTCTGATTTTACATGTCCACAGAGGTTTGATTAGAGGAAGGTGGCATTTTTATCAGAGGTAAACAGTGTGGGTGTCATTGAAACGCACACAGTGAATAAACTGATCAAGTAGGTGATCAGTCCAGTGATCTGAACAGAGGGTCCCTTCCCTTGAGCCTTGTTTGGAGGAAGTGGCGGCAGCTTATGCCTATCCATGGAATGGAAGAAGGCAGACATGCTCGAAACAGAGCACCCAATAACCTCTTTCTACCGAAATCTGCACAAAATCTGCTTCAAACCTGGAGTGGTAACATTTTCGATCTGCATTGGACCCTGGCATAGTATAGTAGATAGAACAACAAAAGGGGGCCACCCCTATAAAAGCGGCATCTTTTTCGTAGGAGAGGGAAACCAAAGTGAAATGCCCTGCATATATTTTCTCATCATGTTGGCTACTGCTACTGCTACTGGTGGTGGAGGTGGAGGCAGTGGAAGTGGGAGTGGAATATGGGGAGTGATCAAAAGGAGTAGAAAAACAATGCTCTTCCGGTGGTGGAGTGGTGAGCTCCGCCATTTGCATTGGGGCAGTATTTTTTTCAAGAAAATAGATATGAATTGGAGCAAAAGCTAGCAGCTTTTGAGGAAAAGCTGGGATTTTTTTTCTTTGTTTTCTGGTGGGGAGAGGAGGAAATTTGTGAAGGTGTTGAGACTTGAGAGCTAGTGAGAGTGACCCACTTCAGTGTCAGCAGCTGAGTTCACTTGCCCACTCCATCAGCCATCATGCAGTGCATGCTCCTACATGATGGATATGGATCCTGTAGCAACAGCGGGGAGCTCAGGCAGCTGCTCTGGCTTTGTCAGGCTAATGAACGCCTGTCCGTCAGATCTGTTGCCCTCACACGCACATCCACTGGCAGCTAGACCCACATAGGCTTCAGTGGCTTCAGGGTTTGTTCCAGGCAGGCAGGCACGAGAATGAAAAAAAAAAGAAACTAGAGCTTGTCACGTTCCTGCAGAGAGGCAGAAAGATGTTTTCGTCCTCCAACACAGCTTTCGCGTTTTGTTGACAGCATGGGTTGATGATATGACGCAAAGAAGCGGTTAAGATGTTACGTTTCGATCAAAGTAAAAGGCGAGCGAAAGAAATTGAGTGCTTTTGTCAATCGGCGAGAAAAAGGAGACGTTAACTGGTCCTTACTCTTTCTCTTCTCTGCGGACCAAAAAAAAAAAACAAGGTACTGACTATTTGGGACATGTACTAGTCACAGATAAGCAAGGTTTTTGTAATATTGTGTTACATCAATATTTTAATCTTGCAAATTACTTACCTTTAGTATAGTCCCTCTTGTTCAAAAAAGAGCGTAATTTTAGGTATGAATCTGGACAAGCACTTGTCTAAATTCATACCTAAAATTACATTCTGTTTAGGACGAAGGGAGTATGTGCAAAAAAATGCATAGTGTCTCAGCGAATAAATTTCAGTGGAGTGGATGTAAAGCATGCAAAATCACTCGAGCTCGAGGCATTCCACTGTACTCCATCTGTTTTTTAAATACAATTCTAGGTGTCCAGGTTCATTCTTTTTGACAGAGAGAGTATATCTTTTGACATCCAGGTGTCTGCTTACAGTGCTATAAACGTGTGTTCTGGCCGCGGCCAAAACAAGCAGCGCACAATTTCGGCATGTTGGAGCCATTGAGGGAGATGTTTGGTTCACAGCTATGCTTGGGCGTGCCCCAACTTGCTTTACTATTTTGCTAATGAAACTTTAGTAGCAACTCTCGCCAAGTGTGCGGCGGGCGATGTGCCTGAATTATTTGGCATGGCATGCCGAGGAAATAAACCAAGCATGGCCAAATACTTTGTTTTTCTTCTCTTTGCCTTTCAAGAAACAGAAAAAGAGGAAAATTCATTTCCTCTCTCTGAACTATTGTCAGAGCATAGGTCTCCCTCCTCGGACTCTTGAACCAGAGACAACTTACCTTACCTTCTTGCCCCAGTTAGAGGTTGTTTTCAAGGTGGTTTCATCGTCTTTATTTCAAAATTAAATCCAATTAACATAAGATAAGGTATCTAACCCACAAAAAGAAATCTTCAAGCTTCTAAAAATTTCTCAAAAACTTCTAGAGATAGATTGGAACACGTGAAACTCAAATAAAATATTGAGAGCTCTTGCGAATATCTCTACAAGCTTTCAAAAATTAGATTTAGCTCTAAAAATACAAAGATATAAAAAATCTAGAAAAATCCTAACACATTATAATCGATCGAAGTCTAACTGTGAAAACTTTCCATGACAAGAACACAAGATGCAACTGGCATTAATGTATGTTGCATTCATGTTAGTTGCATCTCATATTTTTCTTAAGATTCTTTTAAAATACTAGAACTTAACTAGAATATTTGGGAATTTTCAGATGTTTCTACATATTTCCCCATTTTCTACAGCTAAATCTGTTTTTAGGCATAGAGATATATATTACTTTTATGAGGTCTAAATGTTATTTTGGTTTCTCGTTCCCAGTCCATCTCTAACATTTTTGTCATAATCTATATCTTTTATAAAGATAAACCTCACTAGCAATTTATCTTGTCATGCAAAGTGTCCACATCAGCATCCACTAGAACATCCCACTAGCACATTCAATTATCTCGGCATGCAAAGTGTCCACATCAGTATCCAACTAACACATGACATTATGTCTTCATTCAAGTTATTCACATTAGCAAACCACATCATTTACTACCATATATTTAGTTGTCCACGTCAGAATGCTAAAAATCATCCACTAATATGTATTATGATATTTATTCAATCATATTAGTAAATATAAGTAGTACCATTTCACCAGCGATTCATGCAGCAACGCGCGGGGCGTTCTTCTAGTTCTTATAATCTTAGAGATAATTTTTGTGATTTTAAATTTATCAGATATTTATTAGACTTGCTTTCAAACTAAAAAGGATGAAATCATCTTCAAAACTACTTCTAACTAGCAGAGATAATCTAAATGGTTTTGAAGTGCGAGAAAGAAATTATTTAGTTTTGAAGCTTGAGTAGGAAAAATCTAGAGCTAGACAACAATTTAGGAATGTAAGATATATCTTTTTTTTTCTAAAAAAGAAAAACGAGGAGGACAACGGATCGATCGAACTGCCTCCTACAGAAGATGACATGCATGATGAGTTAAACCGATCGAAATCATATCAGTTGCTTTCACGCACAAAGTTACCACACATGCATGGCGCCACGCCTGCAGCTAGCAGCGAAAGCCGCCGCCGTCACGTCGCCGACGACGCGACGGCCAATATAGCTGCGGCAGGCGTTTTGTCAGCTTTGCATGCATGGGTTTCACCTTTGCAGAGCGAACGCATACGCATGCAAGAACCGCGCGGTAACTTCCGGTACAAAGTACGGAGTACTAGTACTAGTACTGCGTTTCATCTCAAAATTCGAACTCCCAACGGCAATGATGCATGCATGTACGACACTCCGATCCGTAGAATACAAGTGCAGCCACGGCATGCATCGACTGGTAGGTAGTAGTAGGTACCACTTCGCTTGGCAAATGGTAACTTCAGCAGCTTAGTTCGGCTGGTATTAAAATCGGTTAATAAACTGGCTGAAACTGTTTTGTTGTGAGAGAAAAATACTGTAGATTCTAGCTGATAAGTTCAAGCGAACAGGCCCATATCGATTTTTTTAATTACACAGTACGCATACGTCCACAACACGCACGTATACTCACCCATATGAACACACGTATCAAAAACTCTACCCCTATGAGCACCTTCGAAGAAGGATTGAGTTAGCAGATCTCGAGATTCACGAAGTCTCCACTGGCGCCTCGCTGTCGACAGGGATGTCGTCTATCATAAAGCATAGCGTCGTTAAATTCTAAAATAAATTCAAGAAAATACGAGCACCCGTGCTAAGTCGATGACTTTAAACCCATAAAAAACCTAACCAACTTATCTACGATTAGTTCGCTACCCATATCAAAATTTGACTGCACTGTACTACCCATGCATTGCAAAAAAACAAAGTACGTATTTTGATGCATGCTAGCTGTGTACGCAGTTTTGAATTTTGAACACTACTAGTAGTACGTATCGTATTGTATTGCACGGTGTTGTACCGGTCAGTCATCACAGGGGAGCTACGTCGTGGTATCAATGTGTAGTTATTGTGTGTGTTAATTACGTATGACTAGCTAGAGCACCCATTAAATTGGTCGGAATGAATAATCGCAAGATCGAGCCGTTGCCGACTTGCCGTGTTATGACGGTACGTACGTACTACGGTCAGTACGGGAATCCAATGGCCAATGCCACGGTAAGAGAGACGTAAAAATGCAGCAACTTGTTTTTCCCCCAAGACGCAATATACGTAGACCCCTGAGGCCCTGAAGGCTGAAGTTTACTTGCACATGCATTGTATGCGTACACAACCCATGTGAATGGATTTCAGTGTCGAGAGATTGATGATCGCACCGCAGGAGTCTTGTTGTCGTCGATGTGGACGTATTACTGAAAGTATTGAAAGAATCTGTGTTAACCTACTCGACAGGGAGATTCTTGAACCTCACTATCTGAGTAGGTAAGTTGTACCATACTAGAATCTATCCGACTGAACTTAGTTAGCCG